GATACTCCATCTCTAGGCCTCAAGCATTTTCTCTGTCTCCTACGCCAGGAATGCTCTCCCTCATTAACACCATCTACCAATTTCCCTGACTTCCTTTAAGTCCTAAATAAAATCCCACCTCCTGCAGGAAGCCTTCCTCAATGCATCTTAATATCAGTGCCTTTGCTCTGTTAACTATTTCCCATTTATCCTGTGTATAGCTTATTTGTACATATTTGTTTGCATGTTGTCTCTCTATTAGATTGTGAGCTCCTTGAGGACAGGGACTGTCTTTTGCCCCTTTTTGTATTTCCATTGCTTATCTTAGTACCTGGCACATAGTAGGCACTTTATAAATGCTATTCCCTTCCCCCTCCCCTAGTATTGGGCTCCCAGCAAGAATTCCTGTTACTTAGGCGAAGGATGTCAGTCCTAGACATAGTCACCCAGAAAGTACAAGCCTAAGACCCCTTCTATGTGTAAAATTTTATGATTCTCTTCTGGGTAAAAACAAAAATCCCGTTGCTTTTATCTGTTTCAATAGAGAATCAGTTGGTCAATAAGTATTTATTAAGCATTTACCATATATGTGTTAGGCACTGTGCTAAGCAGTGGGGATACATAAAAAGGCAAAGTTACCAATGATCTCTTAAATTGCCAAATATCACCCTCTTCTCCTTGGTACTCTTCTCTCTCCAGGTTTTCTCTACTGGTTCTTCTCCCTGTGTGACTTCTCCTCTTCAGGGTCCTTTACTGGATCTTTATCCAGGCCATACCCAGTAACCCTGGGTATCCTCCAAGACTCTGTCCTGGGCCCTCATCTTTTCTCCCTAGATGCTATTTGGCTTGGTGATCTCATCAATGGATTCAATTCTTATCTCTGTGCTAAAGATTCCCGGTCTACTTATCCAGCCCTTCCCTGTCTCCTAATTTCCAGTCTTACATCTCCAACTGCTTGTTGGACATGACAAACTGAATGTCCCATAGACATCTTAAGCTCAGTATGTTCAAAACTGAACTTGTTATATTTTCCCCCAACTCCCCCCTTCTTCCTAATCTTCCCTTTATCATTGAGTACCCCATCTTCCTAGTCATTCAGTCTCACACCTAGTTGTCATCTTCATCTTGTCACTCTCCCGCCCCCCCCGTATCTAATCAGCTGCCAAGATCTGTCATTTCTGCCTTTATAACATCTCTCATATACACCTCCCTTTTCTCCTCTGACACTGCCACCACCCTAGTCTAATCCATCCATCACTCAGCTGTCAGATTTATCTTCCTAAAGCACCGGTCTGAGCATGTCCTATTCAATCAGCTCCAGTAGCTTCCTATCACCTCCAGGATCCTCTGGTATTCCAAGCCCTTTCTAACCTGGCCTCCTCTTACCTTTCAGTCTTTTTACACCTTACTCACTGCCACAAGCTCCGCACTCTAGGGACACTGGTCTCCTTGCTTTCACTCAGATAAGGCACTCCATCTCCCAATTCTGTGTTTTCACTACTAGCTAGTGCCCTGGAATCCTCTTCTGCCTCATCTCTTTCTCTTGCCCTCCTTGACTTCATTCAAATCCCAGCTCAAATCTCATCTTTTACAGGAAGCCTTTCCCAATCCCCCTTTATTCCAGTGCCTTTCCTCTTTTGATTTTCTCCAATTTACTCAGTATGTATCTTGTTTGTACATAGCTGTTTGTTTGCCATCTCCCCATTAAGCTCAGGTACTGTTGTCTTTCTTTGTATCCCCAGTGCATAGCACAGTCCCTGAAATATAGTAGGAGCTTAATTAATGCTTGTTGACTAAAAACCATTCTTGCCCTTAAAAAGCATATATTCTAATGGGAGAGACAACATATAAATATGTATATACACGTTGTTGTCATTCAGTCGTGTCTGACTTCATGACCGCATTTGGGGTTTTCTTGGCCGTGATACTGGAGTGGCTCGCTGTTTCCTTTTCCAGCTCATTTTACAGATGAGGAAACAGGCAGACAGGGTTAAATGACTTGCAGAGGATTATACAACTAGTAAGTGTCTGAGGCTGGATTTGAACTTGGGAAAAGGAGTCTTCCTGACACCAGGTCAGGCACTTCCTCTACTGTGCCACCTAGCTGCCCTTCTATATACATACATACAAAGTATATAGGAAAGAGTAGATAAAAGACAACCTGAGAAAGGAAGGTTCTAGCAGCTGGGGAGTAGGAAAGATTTTCTATAGAAGGTAGAATTTGAGCTAAGTCTTGAAGGAATCCAGGGAAACCAAGAGATAAGGGTCATGAGGTAGAACATTCCAAGCATGTGGTATGTCCAGTGTAAAAGGACGGAGATGAGAGATGGAGTGTCATATTTGAGAAATAATATATATTTTATATATATATATATATATACACACATATATATACATATACATATATATATATATGTATATATATAGCTGGAAGGGAACTTTGAGATAATTTATTCTAACTCTCATTTTGCATATGAGGTTTGAAAAGTCACACAGATTCCTTGAGGGGCCACTCTTTAGGAGATGAGCAGTTCAATTGATTTAATACTTCTTGGTCAATACTTATCTGTCTTTAAACCTTCACCACAATCCTAGTACTTGAGAAATGTCCAAACCATTTCTGCAGAAAAAGATAGGCAGCTTTGGGAGTCAACAGGACCTCTGGCCCAGACTGCATTTTTTTGAAAAAATGATCTTTTGCCTACCAGCCATTATAAACAGCCTCCTACTCCTGGGTGGGAATGTTGAGAGTGGAATCCCTTCAGGACAGCCCTCCATAGCTCTTGAAGGCAAAACCAGAGCAAAGCCTAGCTGAGGCCAGATGAGGAGGAGTGGGAGATTCAGGAAGCACTCATCAGCCGTCCTCATGGGCACTGTGCTGATAGTTGCCCTAGGCACTACAAAAATTCTAAACAAAGATGACCAAAATGGCAGGGAATCAAGAATTATTTGCCAAGGAAATTTTCCTCTTTCCAATCCAGGCTTCAAAATAACTCACTGAGAAACAGCGAAGAGTAGAGAAGGGGGAAATAGCTGATCAGTAATAAACACAAATGAAAGAAATGAAAGGAAATCAACAAAACTTTATCTTCCCTGTTCTGTTCATTATGCTTCCAATGCAGCCTAAGATTTCATTAGCTTTTTTTGGTGACCATATTATACCACTTAAACCCCCCATTTTATTTCATGTGAACTACTATCTCGTTATATCACCACCATCCTATAATTTCACACTTGATTTTTTGAAACCAAGTGTAGGACTTTTGTTTTATCCCTATTAATTTTCACATCTTTATAATATGCCTGTTGAGATCTTTTTGGATTCTGATTCTGCCAGACAATGTGTTAAACTCTTCTAGCTATGTGTTATCTTCAGCTTTGATAAGCATGCCATCTGTGCCTCCATCCAAGTCATTGATAAAAATGTTGAGCAGAGTAGTGCAAAGGACAGAGTCTTGGTGGACTCCAATGTAACACACACACACCTTCCTTTAGTTTGGTATCAATTGATACACTAAACATTGTACTTCATGTCAGACCATTCAACCATTTCTGAGTCTACCTAACTCTACAACCATCCAGCCCATACCTTAACAACTTGTCCACAAGAATATCATGAGAAACTCTGTCAAAAGCCTGACTGAAATGCAAGTAAACTATATCTTTGACTTTCCCTTGAAATGTCAGTTTAGTAACCCTGTCAGAAAGAGAAATGAGGCTAGTCTGTCGTGACCTGCTCTCAGTGAACCCAAACTAATTCTTCACTTCCCTTTTGCTCACAGATCATTTAATAATGATTTGGGGCATTTGATAATCCCTCAAAAATTGGAGTCAAATTCTTATATCTGATTGGTCTGTAGTTTAAAAAATCCAATTTATGCTTTTTGAAAATTAGGACATTTGTCTACTCTTAAACCTCCTTGTTTCTTCCAAGATCACCATTTGCAGCTCAACCGTCTCATCCACCACTTCTTTCAGTACCTCTGAATTTAGTGACTACTGACTCATTGAGTACCAGCAGGAGCACTGGGACCACCTTGTCCTCACTTATTTTGGGAAAACTGATAGTGTGTTATGCTGCCCAGAGAATGAGGCCTTCACCTCAGCCTGGTTAAAGCCTTGCCTACTTTCTCAGCAAGGGAACCACAGCCACCCTTCCCCACCCCCATGGGCCAGTTTAGGGAGATAATAGAGGCACTGGGATTTTGACATCCTTCAATTAACGTGATCTTATTGGGCCACGTGCTGGTATGGCCAACTCTGCCCCTACACCAAGAAGTCTATGTCATATGTATGGGAGATAATGCCCGTGGAAAGACAAAGAGGGTTGTGATGGCCACATCTGAGAGATCCTGTGAAGCGAGCTAATCAGCAGGGCTTACCATGAAGATTGAGTCCCATTCTCCAGGCATTTATGGACACTTGCTATTTGCCCAGCATGTCTAGGTGTACTTTCGCCACTGATACAGAGTTCCAGGTATAGGGAAATGCAAGGGAGGGAGAAATTTTTTCATCAGGGAAAAGCTTCTCAGTCATACCATATAGGTAACCATGTCTTCTTTTCCCTGACTCCTGGCTCTGGGTTTAGGGTGAGAAATAATTCATTTGAGGCTAGTGCTTTCTTGACTAACCAACAGGCTAAAGGCTCTGATTACACATTGACAATTCTTTCTTTCTCTCTCTTCCCTCCCCCTCTCCATCCTGTTCCTCTTTCCCTCTCTCACTTCTCTGTCACTCTTTTCTTCTTCTTCTTTCTTTCCCTTTCTTCTCCTTCTCTTTCTACCTCTCCTTTCTTCATCTGGCCTCTCTTTCCCTCTCCTTTTCCTTCTCTTTTCTTTTTTCCCCTTTCCTGCTCTCTTCCCTCTTTCCCCTCCCTTTCTCTTTATATCTCCCTTTCCCCCTCCCATATTTACCCTCTGTTTTCTCTCCTCCTCTCTACTCATTTCGTTTCCCCTCTCTCCCTATATCTCTCTCTTCCTCTCTCCTCTCTTTTCTCCCCCTTTCCAATTCGGGTTTTGCAGGAGACAGCAAAGGCCCCCAGGTGGGAACAAGTCCCAGCAGCACAGTGACCACCAACCAGGCAGTGCCAAACACAACAGGGACCACCAGAAATCCTACCAGGGGGGCCAGGCACCTCACCCCTCAGGGAGGCCTAACCACCATGGCTATAGCCAGAACCGACGGTGGCACCACAACAACCCAAAACACCCGCCCGGCGACAAGGAGGCTGCTACCCACCGCAACAACACCAAAGAAACGGAGAGCCTGAAGATCGAAGATGCCCCTGTGTGCACAGTGCACATCCCCCTGGACATGCACCGGAACCCCGATGCTCAGCCTACAGATAGGTCACCACCCCAGCAGCCTGGAGGCCTGGAGGTGGAGGCCAAACGCAAAGACGGTATTATTAATGATCGAATTGGGGAGCGGCCCAAAATTAACCTGCTCCAGTCTTCCAAAGACAGGCTGAGGCGAAGACTAAAGGAAAAGGTACCGGTAATTGAATTTTAAATTATTCTGGGAGGACAGCAGAGAGGTAGGCACCTTCATTACATGGGTCATGGCATAGGCCAGCCCACAGGCTGCATGCTTCTGAGGGTAGTGGGAACCATGGCAGGGTGAAAGGCAAGGTAAGTAAAGGGCAGAGGGTTGTTAAAAAAGAGGATGGAATCACAATATTGCTCTAGACACACACCTCCAAGAATTCCATTCCACATGCCTTGGGTCACAGATTTTGAGACAAGTGGTCACATTGGGAGAGGCAGGCACCTTCATTTCATGGATCATGACATGGGCCAGAAACACACTATACCATGCCTGAGGGCTTCAGAGAGAGGGAAGTTGTGTTCTTTGATGTCATTCTCTTGTTTGAGGGAAGACTCTGGAGCCTGAGATAAGGGAGATTATGGTAGGTAAATAATGGTCCAGTCTTTGAGTGTCTCCCAAGAGCATCTGCAGAGGTCATTTTGGAAGGTGGGTATTCTTTCCTTCTTTAGATTGTTGTGAAATGGAAAATAAGTCTAGTAAATTCCCATAATTCCTGTAGCCTTCCCTTTCATTTTTAACTACTTTTGCCCTAGTGACGGTATCCAGTGTCTTTAGTCATTCTTACTGTCTGCGTCCATCTCAGATATGTACTTCAAGTGAAGTGCTGTATGTAAAGCACTTTCAGACTTAAAATGCTATGTGAGTTGTTGTTATTGTTATTATTATTATTTCGCAGAAGAAAAGTACTATCTCCTTTTTGATCTTGAACCTAGACCCTCCCATTTGTTCCTTGTTTCACAGGCTCTCACCTTTTGGGACACAGCACACTGGGGAAGTAGCCTTTAGAGGATTTATTCAAGAACAAAAGTGAAATATTGTCCTCTTCCTGCTCCAAAACATCCCTCAGTCAAATACAGTGGAGTTGAGGGTTTCTGAAGCTCCCAGCCTTATTAGCTGCTAGCTGAATTCCTCTCTTGATCTTCTCACAACGTGGCACTCTGGGCATGCATGGGCACAAGATACTTCCTCCCTTGCATTTCCTTCAGGAGGCTCATTCCCAGCTAGCTGGCTGTTGCCACCTGCTTTTGTTCATATGTTGCCCAGAGAAGAATTTCCACTCTTTAGCATTGAATTCCACATGTTGTCCTGTTTATACACATTCATGTGGGTCTTGTGTGTTGAAGGTCTTGGGACTCTCCAATACGGTCTCCCTCTCCTCCTCATGGCTGCTTGGCACCAGGATGGGGTACTAGGATCCAAGCTAGTTGGAGTGTGAAAGTGAAATAGAAGACAGAGTGAGGTCCAGAAATGTAGGCTTTGAATGAGACAGATTATTAATTGAAATGGAAGCACCTGATCATAAACAGCCTTACTTGCTCCTGGCAAACCCATGGTTCCCCCCAGGACTCCATGAAATCAAACTCCTTTCTCCTTACCATCTCTCATAGACCTGCCAGCTTCAAGGGATCTCTTGAAGCCAGTGACAATGAGGGTGTCAGTTTATCCCAGTAGAAAAAAAAATCATCTTCCCCCTGGAGAGGTTTTGAGTCCAGTTTCTAATTATGAAGAATTGAATAGATGCAATAGGATAAACAACTTGTGTTTAAAAGCTCTGTACCAAGTTTTAAAAAGCTTTCTGGGCACTGGATTCTAGAGGGTATTTTGTATGAACAAAAGCCTTCTCAGGTGTGTTTCTGTAAGGCTGAGGACTGCCATACTTTGTTATGAGAATCTGTCCTGCTTCATGGAATCATAGGGCCTCCAAGGGCCCCTGCTTCAGAGCCGAAACCTTCCCCCTCAATGTTGTATGTGATGGATCAGGCCAAGCATAGCTGAACCTAGGTTTCACCCTATATACCCAGTTTCCCAAAGTGAAGTAGAGGTAAAATGATTTGCCTTGGGTCATGTAGGTAGTAAATGTTAGGGGCAAGATTTGAACACAGGTCTTCCTGATTTCAAGTCAAGCTCTCCATCCATTGCAGCACACTTAATCTCAGAGAAGGAGCCTAAATAAAGTCTAGAGAGTTAGAGTTAGGAAGTGATTTGGCCAAGTCACAGAGCTAATTAGTAATAGAGTTGGGACTAGAACCCAGGTATCCTGACCCCCTCCCTTTCTTGCTGGGCTTTTTTATAAGGAAAGCCTAGACCATGAAAGCAAGCACCAGAGCCCCCCTCCCTATTCTAGCTGCCCTTGCCAGCTCAGTTTCCGCCTGATGGAGGCAAGGGAGAGTAAGTAACCTTGGAAGGAAATTATTTCCAGCCCTACATTTAGACTTGATCCCTTCCTTCTCCACCCCAGCCAAGACTTCTCTAGTAATCCTGAAATATTACTGAGTAACATATTTAGTTTGGGAAATTGGAGAGGGCAAAGCTGTATTTTTCATTCTTTGAAATTTTCACACTTGATAATCTGTCCCCAGTTCTTGCTAACCACCCTTTATAGCTGCTGTGTTCTTGTCTCTCTGTCCCCTATCTCCTGCCAGTCAGGATAACTCAATGTAATGACAATGATAATAATCATAATGATAATAATAAATAATAATAATAAATAATAATAATAATAATAATGACAACTCACAAATATATAATATGATGCTTTATATACCAGGATTGTGAGGTAGATGGTACAAGGGTTGTTATTATCACTTTATAGATATGGAAACTGAGGATCAGATAGGTCAGGGCCTCTTACCCATAACTGGTAAGTGGAAGACCAGGGACTTGAACCCACTTCTCCTGAGCCCAGATCCAGAGTTCTCCTACCACCCTTATGTTCCTTATCTGTAACAGTAGCTCATACTTGTGCACCACTTTCTTTATGGTTCATACTTTGTATGGCTTTTATGGCTCATCTGAGCCTCATAATTACTCAGAGATTCTTCCCATCTTCGAGATGAATAAAATGAGGCTCAGAGAGGGGGTGATTTGACCAGATTACTCAGCTAGTTAGTGGTGGAACCAGAATCAGAATGCAGGTCTTCTGACTCTTGGTCCCAAGCTCTAACCAAGTCATTCAGAACCTAATATTATTGTGTGGAGTTGAGAATAAAGAGTTTAGAACTAAATGCCATTTTAGACTTTTCTGCTTCTGCTACTTTAGCCCTAGCCACAATAAATACTCATGAGGGTCTCATTTTGTTTTTGTTTTTGTTTGTTTTATTTTTTTAAAATATACTTGCCAGACAAAGACCAGCAACCATGTTGGTAAAGGAAGAGCTATTTGGGGATTTCCTAGCGTTGACCACATTTAACTTCCTGCCCCCTTTGGGTCTCATGGATAATAGTAACTCCTCAGGGCAAAGAAGTTGCCAGTTACAGGACTCTAGCCCCAGAGCTGGACAGGATCTCACTGTAATCCAACCTCCTAATTTTACAGATGAGGAAACTGAGACCCAAGAAAGTGAAGTGACTTGCCCAAAGTAACACAGCTAGTAAGCGTTAGAGTTAGAACTTGAACCCAGGTTCCCTGACTCCAGAGATGTATATTGTTCCAAGATGAAGGGCAGAGAAGGATGCTTCATTGAGCTCCTGTGGAATAACAAAAGCCCACAAGAAAGATCAACCTAAGATATTGTAGCAGTAATGGAAGAAGGTAAGGCAAAGGGGAATCAATGAATTACATTAGCAGAGAGGTCAGAGGGCAAGATTACAAAAAATAAGGATGCCTAAGGATACTCAAAGTATGCAAGATGGGCACACTAGTACAGCTGATCTCATGGAAAAGGACAGGTGAGTGTGTGGTCCACTTTGTGGGGATCGCCGAAAGGAGTCCTCCCACTCCTCCCCACCTTAGCCCTTCCACTTCTGCCCCACTCTGTAGTGACTTTCTTTGTTGGTGTCCTTTCTCTCCCCCTACCTCCTGGGGGCTCCAGGAAGAAGTAACGGTGGTGCCACCCAATCCCCAGAGGAACAAAATGGACAAGCTGATAGAGATTCTGAACAGCATGAGGAACAACGGCAGTGACGCGGATGCCCAGCTCACCACCTTCATGGAGGAGGCCCAGAACTCCACCAACTCCGAGGAGATGCTGGGAGAGATTGTCCGAACCATTTACCAAAAGGCTGTGACAGACCGCAGTTTTGCCTTCACGGCTGCGAAACTCTGTGACAAAATGGCCCTCTTCATGGTGGAAGGGACCAAGTTCCGGAGCCTTCTTCTCAACGTGCTGCAGGTAATCGGATAGTCCCAGCTGCCATCCCTAGGACGTATCACTAGAAAGAAGGCCGCAGATTCTAACCATAGTTGAGCTTTTCCCAAGTTCCATTCTTGCCCAATTAATTATAGAAAATTAAAAAGCTCACAGGCAGGGTGAGAGCTAGGGGAGAGGGGCAGAGCTTTTATTTGTTTGTATGCGTGTCTCATGGTTACAAAGGACCAATATAATTTTATAGTCACTGTAAGTCTAACAAGCCAATCCTTCCTTCTATTTTAAAAAGAACGAGGTATTTCCATTTTAACTCAGGCTTAATGGTCTGACCTCCCTGGCTAAGTCTGAGTGAGAGGGTATGGGCTCACTGTGGCCTGCTTTGAGGTCTGTCTCTTCATCCCCTCCTCTCACTTCTATCTCATAAACCTTTGGGGTTGCTTTTCTTCATATGGCTTCAAGTAGAACCTATGTCATGGCATTTGGGAAGAGCTGGATCTATTTATAAGGCCGAGGAAGATGGAGATAGTTTGGTTCCTTTGTACCTTGGCAAGTGTTTACCTTCCCCATCCCCAACCAGAAAGCTTTATTACATTTTTGTAATAAAGAGTATAATTCTCTTCTAATCTCATTCCCCTCCTGCTCCCCTCGCCATACCTTGCTACCTCTACCATGTACCAGTTAATGTCTTATTTTGGTATGATTTAAGAATGATAAGTAAGAGAAAGAGAGAATGTGTGTGGAAGTGGACCTCGTGGGTCTATGTGGTCTTAGACTGAGGGTCAGCCATCTCAGCTGGGTGGGGTGTTGGTAAAAGAACATGTGGCCATATCTGTTTACATAAGTGCAGTGACAGAAGAGTTGAACACATCTCTCAAGAAGGAGTTGAGATTCTGGTTTCAGAGAACAGATGATGGAGCACACTTCTCCCCTCTTGGTAGAGGTGGACAAGTATGGCGGCAGAATGTTGCGTATGCTTTCAGACTCAGTCATTGGGTTGATTGGCCTTGCTTAACTGTTTTTCTTGTGACAAGAGAGTTTGGGGAAGGGGTTGTAATGGGGAACAGATATGGTATAAAGAGCAAAAGGCATCAAAAAAGGCTTTTCTTTTTTAAAGAAGTAGGAAATGGTAGGGTGTAGGGGGCAGTGTGGTGGCCGGCCCATATTTCATCTTTCAACATTGTTGACTGAATTTGGGGAAGATGGGAGTTTAAGAGAAGGCAATGGCCTAGGATTGGCACCAAGCATTGCCTTGCAGGACTAGAAGGGCTCCCTGACAAAATTACTTCTGGGCAGACGGCTTGCCAATATTATCCCAAAAGAGCACTGGGAAAGGAGATGCTCTGACTTCCTTTGGTGTCAATACAGAAGTGCTCGCTCTCTGAAATGTCTTCCTTCTGCCTAGTTTGAACCCCCCTTACTATACTACTATGAACTCTCCCCTGGGCCTTCTTTCGAGTGTCTTCACTGGATCCTCATTCCTGACTTGTTCTCTCTCTTGATGATGAATCCCCACATTACCTGGGGACCTGGGGAAGTGATACATGCTGGATGACTTCACCAGGAAAAGGGTTGAGTCTTCCATTTATTCTTTTTTCTTTTTTTGTTGGTAATATATAGAAATGCTGATGATTTATGTGGGTTTATTTTATAGCCTGCAACTTTGCTAAAGTTGTTTATTATTTCAAGTAGTTTTTTACTTGATTCTCTAGGATTCTGTAAGTATATCATCATGTCATCTGCAAAGAGTGATAGCTTTGTTTCTTCTTTGCCTATTTTAATGCCTTCAATTTCTTTTTCTTCTCTTATTGCTAAAGCTAAGGTTTCCAGTGCAATATTGAATAACAGTGGTGATAATGGACATCCTTGTTTCACCCCCGATCTTATTGGAAATGCTTCTAGCCTGTCCCTATCTTTTTTCTTTTTTTAATGTCATGATTTTTTCATTTATGAAGCATTTATTTTTCTCCCTCCTAATTCCCTCCACCCACTGAAACAAAAGAGAGGAAGGAAAGAAAGAAGGGAGGAAGGAAGAGAGGGAAGGAAGGAAGGGAATGAAGGAGGGAGGGAAGGAAGGGAAGAAAGGAGAGAAGGAATAAAAAGAGGTAAAGAAGAAGCAAAGGAAGGAAAAAAGAAGGGAGTAGTATAGAATGTTATAGTATAAATGTTCTTTCTGATTCTACTTACTTCATTCTGATCAGTTTATTCTTTCCACTTGCTCTTTAAAAAAAAAAAAAGCTGACGTTGATGTAGATCTTTAATATTTATAAAATACTTTACATATTTTATCTCATTTGACCCTCACCCCCCCAAAAAAAAAACCCTGTTGAAGTTGGTACTGTCATTATCTCCATTTTACAGATTAGAAAACCGAGTTTCAGAGAGGTAAAGTCACTTGCCCATGATCTGTTTTGGTTTTGTATCCCCTGTGTCTAGCATGATGGTTAGCCCATAGCAGGTACTTAATAAATCTTTGACTGCTTGATTGACTGATCACCTAGCTGATAAGTATCAGAGACAGGATTCAAATCTAGGTCTCTAGCCCTAACCTCTAAATCCAGTGCTCAAGCTACTGGTCTCTTGAGCACACTAGACCTCTTGTGTTGTCTTGAGGGCTCCCATAGTTCAAGGCAGATTGCTGGGCTGAGAAAACCCTCCCTTTGTCCCTTCCTCTCCTCCTGCCCCCGGTCACATAAGGGAAAAGTATCTTTGGAAGGGGCTAGGTTGCTGGGTAAGCTATGCTAGAAGCCAGGGATAGCCATCTGAGCTCCAGCCCCTCACTGCCTCAAGCTTCAGCAAAGGGTATCAGGGATTAGAGCTTGTGCCCGGCTGGGCTGCCAGGCTAGTGAGACACGTGCATGAAGTGAGCAGAAGGCCCACCCTTCTTCTTTTCTTCTCCAGACTCACAAGGCATAACCATTTTCATTCATTAGCCCCATCCCCTCCTTTTTGTTTTTGTTTAAAAACCTTCCGTTTAGCCATATTACCAGCATACATCCCTAGGCCTGTGCCCTGCTCCACACATAGGCCACCATCCCTCACCCCCATGCCCCAGGACCTCGCTTCGTTTCACTCTCAGGAACTATACAAGCTCCCCACCTTATCTCAGGACAAGGTCCATTTGGCTTGTGAACCCAAGAACAGCCCTGTGGCATAAGCAGAGACGGCCTTGGCTGACACAGAGCAATCCAGAAACCAGCCTTAATGACTCTGGCCAGGATGTGACAGGCCTGTGAGACAGACTCATAGCAGCTGGTTTGTTGTGTGCAAAGTCAACCACCACCATGTGTTAGGATTTCACCCTCTTCCACAGCTCCTTGGCTGGGAGCTCCTCTGTTGCTCCCTTGCTTTTGATTATGTCAGAGGGATGGGTATCATTCAGAAGAGGGAGATTAAAGAGGAGAGGTAAAAATTGAGAAGGGAAGGGATCTGAGGTGACATAAGATGAAATGCTTGTGGAAATAATTGGAGTTAAGTGACTTGTCCAGGGTCACACAGCCTAAAGTGGTATTTGAACTTGAGTCCTCCTGATTCCAGAGCTGGTGCTTTATCCACTGCCCGACCTAGCTGCCCCTGCAGCTTCTGATCTTAAGGAGTGGCCTGAGAGGTTGTGACTTGTCTAGAGTCAATCAGCTCCCAGTCTGCTAAGCCACTATGCTAAATATGCCTGTTCTACTTATGGATAAACTGAGGCATAAACTGGGTTTTGAGGTCATTGACAGATCCTTAACCCTGTTGGCCTCAGTTTCCTTATCTGTAAGATGAGCTGGAGAAGGAAATGGCAAACTACTCTAGTATCTTTGCCAAGAAAACCCCAAATGGGGTCAGGAAGAGTCAAACATGATTGAAAAATGACTGAATGACATCAAGGAAGTATGACCTGTACCTAAAGAGATGAGGGTCTGGAAGACTCAAACTCCTGGAGAGTAGAGCCTATCTTTTTGGCTTGTATATGTATTCCCAGCACTTAGCACGCAGTGCCTGGCAATTGGTAAGCACTTAATAAGTTCTTTACCTATCTCTCTGTCATCCATCTTCATCAACACATCGATTGGGCCACATCTCAAACCTTACTCTCTCACAGTTACTCTTTCTGAGATCCAGAATTTTGAAACTCCCCTTTTCCCTATCCTTCCACTTCCACTATTCTTTCACTCATGCTAAACCTGCCTCATTCTTATCATCACAATGCTGCTTCTTTGACCCATTCCTGTTCTCCAAATCCACCTCCACTTTACAACCATACCCAGCCTTAATCTGTGGCTGACACTGTAATGTTGTACTAGTATCCCCTTCCCCTCTGACCTTTCACTATTCTTGATCAGACAATCCTCACCTTGGATAACTCCCACCTTTCCTGTAGAATGTAATTATTATGGTCGTCATCATCTCATTCCTCACAGTGATTGTTCCATATCCTTTAGGATGCTATAAAGGACCTTAGAAGTCATCTCATTCAACCCCCTCATTTTACAGATGAGGAAACTGAGTCTCAGAGAGGTTAAATGACTTGCCCAGAGTCACCAAGGTGGGAGATGACAGAACTAGGATCTGAATCTCTTTCCTGTGACTATAAAACCAGCATTCTTCTCCCTATACCATGATGCCCCTTTTCTCTCAGCACCTACATACCTATGATCCACACTTAGCCACCTTATCCATTGAGAAGATTGAGGCTTTCCAGTTGTCCTCCTTATCCCTCCTCCATTTTTACGTCAATTTGTGCCCAAAATGAGCTTTCCCTTCCTTGCCTTAACTCCCTCCCCAACCTTTTTTCTGAATCTCCACATTGTCACCTGTTCTCTCCTCCTGTCACAAAAAAAAAAACAGTGTCTCTACCCTTCATTGAAGGTAATCCCTCTTCCTTAATCTCATTTCCTCTCTCTTCTCCCTCCTCCAGGACTTTTCACCAGCAGCCACCCTTCCTACTCACCTCTCCTAACCGACACATCTTCAATCCTTTGATTCCTTTCTATCTGCCTACAAATAAACTCTGAATTCCCCAATCGTATAAGAAAAGAATTATC